GTTTGAGTCCAGCGGCACCTTTAAGACCAACAACGTTTAATTCAAGGTCTACGCTTTCGTGTGCAAGCACTTCTGAAGACGTGTGCTTGCACATGAAAGCTTATACTTTGAATTAAACTTTGTTCTGCTGACTCAGACCAATACAGTTCCCCATCTGAATCTGTGTAAAGTAAAGGTAAAGGTTCCCTTGCTCGAAAGCCAGTCGAGTCCGACTCTAGGGTTGCGGTGCTCATCTCCGTTTCAAAGCCGAAGAGCCAGCGCTGTCCGAAGACGTTTTCGTGGTCATGTGGCCGGCATGACTAAACACCAAGGCACACGGAACGCTGTTACCTTCCCACCGACGTGGTACCTATTTATCTACTTGCACTTTCTTGCTTTCGAACTGCTAGGTTGGCAGGAGCTGGAACTAGAGACAGGAGCTCACCCCGTCTTGCGGCACCCGGGTCTTGAACTGCTGTGTTGAAGAATGTAATTGCCTGTTGCTAATTAGGCCATTGATGGCCAACTGATCCCCCATAGTCCAAATCTAGATCTTGAAACAACCACACCCAAGTTCCCCACCAGCTGCCAGAGATTGGCAGGATTTATGCAGGTGAGGTGTTCATTGCTTAATTAGATTGGCAAGCACCCTGGGGCATCCAAGGATGGGGGTAGGCTTGCCAGTCCCCAGGTGTGGGGGCGGGGATTTCCTGCTTTTGCAGGCTCCTGCCCATTTTGGAGCAAAACTGTATGGTTTCTAGCCATTTTTACCATAGAGTTTTGCCCAAAAAGTAGAGTGTTGCCCCCCAACGACACCAATGTGATTATGTCACTTCTGGAAGTGAATATCGTTGTGTAACTGATGTCCCCGCCCAACCCCAGAATGCCCCCAAATCACCCCCCACACACTGGCACAAGGTAGGCACCTGGCAACCCTGGATGGGGGAGGTTCCCAAAGCAGTCACTGAGAGCTGCACAGTCCCAGTGTGCCGGTGGGAGCTAATGCTTGAACCTTTACGCTGCACAGGTGTGGAGGGATGGGTGATGGGCAACACCTCTGTGCTCAGGTTTGATGCAAGTGAGGAAAGAAAGCCTGGCCTTTGGCCATGTTGAACAAAGAAGCCAGAGTGGGATGCTCAAATGCTGGCAAGACCAATAGGCGGCCTCTTAGGGAGCCTGCACAATGGGAGAGGGAGGAGTTCAGTGCACAGTTCATGTTGTAATTAATAAGTCCTAGTTTAACCCATGCATTTTGTCCAGTGTCTAAATTTGGGGGCGTGGGGGAAATAAGTCTTTCAAGGCCTCGGCCTCTACACCCTGTTGTTAGCCGTCCAGAAGAACAGCTTGGCCACTGTGTGAGACAGGATAGTGGACTAGATGGACTATTGGTTAGCTCCAGCATGGCTCCTCTTATGTTCTTAAAAGATCCAGATAGCCAGTACTTTTTAAACATCATCTTCTTCTCCTTCTTCTTCTTCTTCATCATCATCATCATCCTTATTGCAACATTATTGAAATTTAGGTTTCATTTTATATTTTAAAAGAAAAAAGAAACTGACAGTCCTTTGTAACAAAACTCACACAAGGCTGCATCTAAGTCCTGTACATCTTCCTTTTTCTGTAACACTGCAAGTCTAACAAGTACATAATATCCCTGATTTTATCCAAGAAATATCTCCTTCCTGGAATTTTCTTCAGTTTCCACGTTTTTTGGCAATGTCAGTGTAGCAATGTTACAAGCATATAGGACAACTATTCTATAGTTTTTAGGAATAAATCTTACATAATTCAGTAAAAATAACTCCAGAGCCATTTCAATATTAGACATGAATCCTTTGGTAATAATTATAACAACCATTTTCCAATATTTCACTGCCCTGATACATTTCCACTACATATGTATGAAATCTGCATGAGGTAAATCACAGTACCAACACTGATTATTAACTCCAGTATATATCCTCACCAGTCTAACTGGGGAAAGATGCCAAAGATGCAACGGTTTAATGGCATTTTCTCTCAGAAATAGACATAGCATTCTTTTTGTCATTTTGTTTATTTATTTAAAACATTGGAACAAACAGCTGGAGCCCAAGGCGGGTAACAGAATTCTATCCCACTTTCTCCACTGAAGGCAACAGTGGCAGCTTATGGACAACAAAAACAATTTTAAAATACCAGCATCACAGACAGAGAGAAGGGAAGGGAAGGGAAGGGAAGGGAAGGGAAGGGAAGAGAAGAGAAGAGAAGAGAAGAGAAGAGAAGAGAAGAGAAGAGAAGAGAAGAGAAGAGAAGAGAAGAGAAGAGAAGAGAAGAGAAGAGAGAGAAGAGAAGAGAAGAGAAGAGAAGAGAAGAGACATTAAAATAGACTTCACATACACTAAAACTGGTGCTGGAGAAGACTCTTGAGAGTCCCTTGGTCTGCAAGAAGATCAAATCAGTCAATCCTAAAAGAAATCAACCCTGACTGTTCCCTGGAAGGCCAGATAATGAAACTGAAGCTCAAATACTTTGGCCACCAAATGAGAAGGGAGCACTCACTGGAGAAGACCCTGATGCTGGGAAAGATTGAAGGTCAAAGAAGACGGGGACGGCAAAGGATGAGATGGTTGGACAGTGTCATCGACGCAACGAACATGAAATTGAGCCAACTTCAGAGGACAGCGGAAGACCGGAAGGCCTGGCGTGATCTGGTCCATGGGGTCGCAAAGAGTCGGACTCAACTGTGCAACTGAACAACACCAACAACACTAAAACAGCAGCAATTCCTTAGCACAGGGGTGTCAAACATATGGCCCACGGGTTGGAACTGGCCCGTCCAGGGTTCTTATCCGGCCCGCGAGCAACTGGTCATTCCCTTTACTGCCAGATGACAGAGGCTGTGCATTATGTCCCTGTATACTTTCCCAGTGCTAATGGGTAATGGATGGTAGAAGTGAGAGGGTGGGCATCAGGGAGAGACTTTAAGGCAATATTAAGTATGTTGTATTTTTAGTAAAAAAAACAATATTGTTAATTGGGTTTGCCTGTGTCCTTTATGAAGTTTATATCTCTGGTACCTCGTGTTACATTTTATGGCACACATGGCCCAGCCCAACAAAGTGACATTTATGTCAGATCTGTCCCTTGTAACAAATGAGTTCAATTCCTCTGCCTTAGCAGCCTCAGAACAATTGCAAAAATTAAATAACATTAAGAGAAAACAGGAGTAACCTGAAAATTGAATTTAAACTGGCAGTAAAATAATCACAAAGGGGTAGCCGTGTTAGTCTGTTATTAGCAACATAAAACAAAAGTCCAGTGGCACCTTAAAAGAATAACAACGCATTCTGATGTCTGAGGATGCAAGCTGTCTCACAGAAGCTCTCATTGAAATTTTATTTATTTGTTGGTTTGTTTAATGTCTTGCTTTTCTCCTGGACTGGAACCCAAAGCAGGTTTATGCATCCTTCCCCTCTCCCACCTCCACTTCATCATCACAACACCCAGGGCTATTTTTGGGCAGGAACGCACAGGAACGGAGTTCCGGCTGGCTCCCAAGTTGGCCACGCCCAGCAGGAACTCATTAGCATAATAGGCCACACCCAACAGCAGAAACTCATTCGGATTGGCTACATTAGGGGTGTGTGGCCTAACATGCAAAGGAGTTCCTGCTACAAAAAGCCCTGGGTTTTGACAACAAACAAGGTAAACAGAATAACAAGCAAAAGGTGGGTGTGGCTGGATAACCACACTTCTGGTAACATGGGGGTGCGGCCTAATGTGCTAATGAGCTGTGCTGGCAGGGGTGTGGCCTATTATGCTAATGAGTTCCTGCTGTTGGGTGTGGCTACAAAAAGAGCCCTGAAACACCCACTTTGTGAGAGTAGGTTCGGCTGAGAGATTGTGACAGACTCACCTCGAGGTCATCCAGCAGGCCTCCATGGCTGAGCTGGGGATTCGAAACCAGTCATCCCAGGTCCTCGCCTCAAACTCTAGCCACTAGGCCGCACCAGCCCTTGGTCTTTAAGCCCCCACTGGATCTTGTGCTAGTTTAGTAAAACCATCAACAATTTAAAACAATTTCAAAGCGAGGACAAATATGAAATGTTGTAATGTATAGATTTGAAGATAATCAAAATATGCAATAACTAAATGAACACGTACAGAATGTCAATGAAACACCATCCATAGAGAGCCCTGGTTAAATAAATATACCTCTAGCTGGCCCCTTCAATATAACACACTGGGCACCACCCAGATATCTGTGAGAAGGATGCCCCGTAATCCAGCAACGAATTCCGGCAAGAGGACGGTCAAATAGGATTTCTTTTTCTTTTTTTAAGTACCCATAAGGTACACTTTTATTATTTTTCATATTATACACCAACAAACAAACATACTACCTAACAAACATCCACTTACACACATAAAACATACAAAGAGATCAGTATATTTTCTTATAACTCTATTACCATATTTAAAGAATTTCTATAGATTTGCTTAAGTTTCTGTATACTCTTATCTTTTTACCATAGTTTCTATTTAACTTAAAAAGATTAATAATACCAAAATTTTAATTACTTTAAGCTATGCATTTATATTGGACCAATCATACAGGTTTTTTTCCACGTCTTTTGAAATGTTGGGTCTGTTGTCCCTCTCATCAACGACGGCAATTTGTCATTTTCAGCCGTCTCCAACAGTTTATTTACATGTTCTTGCTTCTTTGGTGTTTCCATTTGTTTCCAATATTTTGCATATAATATTCTTGCTGCAGTAGATAGGTGTACTATCAAATATCTATCACCTTTATCAAACTCCTTTGGAAATATGTTTAGTAATAATATTTCAGGCAACAATGGTATTTTAGTTCTCAATATCTCTTGCATCATCTTGTGGACCCATCTCCAGTATCTCTTTGTTACATCACAAAGCCACCACATATGATAAAATGTACCTGTCTTATTTTTGCAGTCAAATTGGATTTCTTGAGAACACCTTTTGACTACTGTGGTTACAGTGATCTTTTCCCCCCCTAGGATACGGTATTGGCCTTCCTCCAAACTCTCCACTCACTTCAAACATCTCTGAATTTATCAGCCAGTATAAGTCCCACGGCTTCATGGATGTCTTACATGACAAGTGGTACAAGGTGGTGCCATGTGGGAAAAGGAGCTTCGCTGTGACTGAGGTAAGAGATATTCCACGGTCACGGATCGGACTGTGTCTTTTAGTGCCAATGTTCACTAATCTGCCAAGAAGAAGATGGCAGAAAACCTGGAGGGGGGGGGGAGAGTCTAAAGATGGTTGGCTGTAATATAAAGAAAGCGATGGCTTGCAAAATATTGCTGAGAAGAGTGGTGACGATGGGATCAGGTGGCGTATTTCTGCAAAAAAATTGTCGGAGCAGCAATTGCCAGAGGCGGTTGAGGCAGCGAGGGTGGCAGAACAAGGTGGGACTGGGAGTCATGGAGGAGGCAGAGTTCCTACTTTTCAGATAGCAGGTACTTTGCATATTAGGCGACACACCCCTGATGTAGCCAATCCTCCAAGAGCTTAAAGAGCTCTTCTTACATGGGCTACTGTAAGCTCTTGGAGGATTGGCTACATTAGGGGTGTGTCGCCTAATATGCAAAGGAGTTCCTGCTACAAAAACAAAAAGAGCCCTGCGTTGCATGCAGGTACCTGAATAGTACAAACAAATGCACAGTGCTGGGGAGGGGAGGGGGCATAGGCACTCTCTGGCAGGGGCTCCCAGCGACTTTCTGCCCAGCTCCCCTTCCCCCCCCAAAAAAAGAAACCTCCTGGAACCTACCCTGCAATTGATACGCAGTTCCAAAGGCACAAGAGCACTTAATTCTTCAGACAAGGGGGCAGCAGTTTCTCTCAGTTCTTCTCTTCCATTGCAGATACCCACTTTGCCTCAATGCTGCTCCAGAGGGTCTGCTGATCCCCAGGAACAAAATTGGGGGAGGGGGTCAGTGGGCTGCCAACCTAGCAGTTCAAAAGCAAGAAATTGCAAGTAGATAAATAGGTACCACTTCGGTGGGAAGGTAACAGCTTTCTGTGCCCCTTGGTGTTTAGTCATGCCGGCCACATGACCACGGAAACGTCTTCGGACAGCGCTGGCTCTTCGGCTTGGAAACGGAGATGAGCACCGCAACCCTAGCGTCGGATTCGACTGGCTTTCGAGCAAGGGAACCTTTGCCTTTACTTTACAGTGGGCTGCAGCGGGAAGGGGAAGTGGGAAAGCCCCGCTCTGCCAAGCTCACAGATGGTTGGGCTAGCAAAGCTGAAGTGCACCTGACCTGGCCTGCCTAACATCCCAGGGCCGGCTCCAGATTGTGGAGGGCCCCCGGCACAGCGTGCCCAAGCCCCCAGTCCTCCTCTGACCACCACCTGGACTCTTGCAGTGCCATTCTTCCAGCTCACAAACATCCCCACCTGCCCGTGTGTCCTTCCTTCCCCCAATGGGGCTGGGGGGGTATGGTATGGTATGCACAGATGGGAACACCACCACCTTCTCGGCCTAGAGAGTCCCCATTGTGTACTACCTCTGCATGTCCTTTTCTGGCGGCATGTGGTTGGGGGGTTCTGTGGCAGTGGGCCCTGCTAGAAACTCTGGGCCCCGGCAGCTCCCCCACCTCAGGAAATGATGACGCGGGCCCTGTAAAGTCCCTGTGAAAGCAATGTGATTTAAGCACCCCCAGTGTGTGTGCTTGCATTCCAAGCGAATTATCCCAAGTGAACTGCACCCCAAACTATCCAAAAACTGTGTCAAGTGCAGTAAAACGTGCTTGGAAGAAGGCCACCTTTGAATAGAGCACGCTTGCAACAGGCAAACGGTATCGCCTGTGACCTTTTGGTACTTTACATTTCGGAACACCATCCTCTTGGATGAAATCCTGTTAAAAGGACCAGTGGGCAATTGTAGTCAATTACCGCAAGCCCGGTTACGGGCAAGATTAACATTTGCCAGGAAGAAAAGCTGGGCAGAGGAGCACAGAATTGATGTCAGTGTTCGTTTTTAATGAGTGGCTTTAAAAGGTCAGAAAGAGAACCCAGCAAGTTCTTTAAAAAAGAGAGAGAGAGAGAGAGCATTTCTTGGCAACTGTGCAATGAAAATGTATAAATGGCGATTGTTTAGAACACTGGTACTGAATTGTGTTAAAACACTAAAATCACACAGAAGCAACCTTTGCTGGCGAGACTTGGGAGTGATAGTTCATCTGTACAAAAAGAGGGACACCTAGTGGAAACGTCGAGGGGTTGCACAAATAAAGCAGAGTCTCATCTAAGGATGTGTCGCTGGCAACCAAGATCACGATAATTCATGCCACGGTACTCCCCGTTACTAGGTGTGGGTGTGAAAGTTGGACAATGAAGACCGCTGGCAGGAAGAAAGTTGATTTCCTCTGAAATGTGGTGTTGCAGGAGAGTTTTACAGATCCTGTGGACCACCCAAAAAAAACCCCCAAAACATATGAGTGTTTCACACCAAATCAAACCAGAACTTTCCCCTAGCGGCTAAAATGACCAGACTGAGGCTGATATTGCAAGAAGCCAAGAGTCACTGGAAAAGTCAACAACGCTTAGAAAAGTTGAAGGCAGCAGAAAAAGTGGAAGACCCAATATGAGATGGATGGACTCCATCACGGGAGCCACTGTCCTTCAGTCTGCCAGACCTGGGCAAGGCTGTTAACAACAGGACCTTTGGGAGGTCATTCATTCAAAGGGTCGCCATGAATCAGGAGCGACTTGACTGCAGTTAACACACACGCAGTGGCCCCTGCAAGACTAGCAAGGTTTTTGTTACAGCATAAGCTTCCGGGGACTAGAGTCCACTTTGTCACATGCATCCAGGGGGCCCTCATGATAAGGATAACACACCCTGTGGCCATCCCCACAACCCCAGTCCATCTCAAGGCCCTCTCCATGGCTGTTTCTTGCAGCCATGGTATGATCCGCAATGTTCCCACTAAGCTGTGGAATCTTGTGAGCAAAAATTCAATTTTGTGAGCTACTGGCATTAAAGTTGTGAGCGGATGACTTGGCTACTGCATAAATGTTTGCTTTGGAGCCATCCTTCCTGGGCTAAGACAAAAATGTGTGAGCCGGAGGCTAAAAAACTGTGAGCTAGCTCACACTAACTCAGCTTAGAGGGAACGTTTCTGAGCAGAGTCACACCCATCAAAGTTCATTGAAATAAATGGACTTAGAAGGATGTCGCTCTGTTTAGGATTGCACCATACGTCATGCACGTGGGGATCCATTCCTGGACCTCAGGGTTATAATACTGTGTTAATCTGTAGCAGCAAAATAAAACAGCACAATAGAGAGGGAGAGGGAGGGAGAGTTGCGAATATAAAGTAATCGACCCACTGAATGTACAGTCCAGTGTATCTGACGAAGCGATCTCTGACTCAAGAAAACTTAGGCTGGAACGTATTTGGTTAGTCTTTTAAGGTGCCGTGGGACCCCTGTGTTATTTTGCCTCACTGTTATGTGGAATTTGACCCTTATGACATCCCTGGGCAAGAGGGAACCCTTGTCTCCCCCCCGATTGCAACCTTTATGTACTACTGAGGCCTAAATTCAGAAACTGTCTTCCTTTGGAAATAGGGTTGCCAGCCCCCAGGTGGAAGCAGGGGATCCCTCGACTGTATGGGCTCCTTCCTGCTACCAGCCAGCTGGCTGGCAGGGGGAAGCCTCACCCCCAATAGCGACAACCCAGCATGACGTCCCTGATGTGATGACATCACGTGGATGTGACATCATCACACTGGAGGCGTTGCGCAGTGACACTGTGGTATTTTGGGCAGAACTCTGTGGTAACCAATGGTAACCGTAGAGTTTTGCCCAAAATACCAGAGCATCGCCACACAATGTCCCCGGCATGATGACATCACTTCTGTGTGAGGTCATCATGTCGGGGATGTTACATGCAGCAACATCACCCCGCCCCCCCCCCACTCCGGGAGAGCTCCCTCCTACCCCCCGCCGGCGAGGAGGTAAGACCTGGCAACCCTATTTGGAAAGCACGTAAGGGGGCTAAAAAGAGAGGAGGCCATCACTTCTGCGGTGTCAGAGGCAAGGTGCCCTAGATGAACCCTCAGTCTGATGCAGCTAGACATTTCAAATGTTCTTCAATTCCAAGAGGCATCACGTAGTGGTGAGAGTGTAAGGACAGGATCTGGGAGATCCAGATCCAAATTCCTAATTTGCCATGGGAGCCTGCTGGGTGACCTTGCGCCTGCCAGTTGCTCTCAGACTAATCTACCTCACAAGATAGTGGTTGTGTGGAAATAACGGAGGACAGGAGAATGATGTTATAAGCTGCTTTAGATCCCCCACCAGGGAGAAAAGGTAAAGGTAAAGGTTCCCTTGCTCGAAAGCCAGTCGAATCCGACTCTAGGGTTGCGGTGCTCATCTCCGTTTCAAAGCCGAAGAGCCAGCGCTGTCCGAAGACGTTTCCGTGGTCATCTGGCCGGCATGACTAAACACCAAGGTGCACGGAACGCTGTTCTCTTCCCACCGAAGTGGTACCTATTTATCTACTTGCAATTTCTTGCTTTCGAACTGCTAGGTTGGCAGGAGCTGGAACTAGAGACGGGAGCTCACCCCGTCTTGCGGCACCCGGGTCTTGAACTGCTGAACTACTGACCATCCACAGCCTGCAGTTCAGCATCTTAACCACTTGAGCCACCGCAGCAGAGAAAAGCAGAGTATAAATATAATAATTTTTACATTGGGAATTCCATTTCTGAAGGATTGTGTCACATAAGTCTTTCTGTCCACGTATCCCTGATCATCCCGGCGGCAGGCAGGAGCCTGTGAGATCGGGGGATCTGATGCAGAGTTCAGCATCCCGAAGATCTCGGCCTTCGTATTTTTGAAAGGTAAATTTCCATGCCTTTTGGCTGCTGAGATAACTGTGAAGATGTGTCAGCCGTGGCTGATGAGATCTCGAGCCAAAACAGCAGGGTTTCCTCTGCAGGACTTCTCGTCCTCCTCATGGCCAGCAGAAAGAGAATCAGTCATGCAGAACACACATGAGAACATGCAGATTTGCTTAACTGGGATCATTGATTCACAGCACAGGACTTAACCTCTCTTTGCAGAGAGCGCCCTGGTGGGAAATTGGGATCTCCTTACTAGTCCTTTTTTTAGGCTCTCCAACTGCATGTCATG